TTTTTTTGGCTGCTCTGGTATTCTCTTTGACCACATATCAAGGATGGCAGGTTCTATCCCATCCCATCCCAGGGGACATGGGCACACTTTCTGGGACCCAAGGCCTTGTCCTTACACCAGTCTTTTCTGCCTCCATCCACAAATCATTAACCAAAACTCAGTCACATGATCACACCTAACTGCAAGGGAAGCTGATACATTCAGTCTTCCAGAGGCACGTGTCCAAACAGAAGTCAGGACTCCTATTACTCTAAAAGGAAGTGGAGAACCCACCACAATGCTGCCTGCGCCCTTGTTCTCTGCACGTGCTTGCACTCTTGGGAGCACATCTCTCTTGCCCTCTCCAATCATCCTAGCCTCCTTGCTCCTCCGTGTTAACTCAGAGTGCTGGTATGGCACTGCCCTGTTCACTGTCCACCCTGGCTCCCCATGACCCAGGAAAGTGATTCTCAAACCTTAATGTGCGCTAGGAATCAGCTGATGGGCATGTTTTGTTATATTTTTTTGTGATGGCATTTCACTACACTGCCCAAGCTGGCCTGAAACTCCCGGGCTCAGGCCCTTGGTGCAAGCAGTCTTCTGGCCCCAGCCCCTGAGTAGTCAAGTCTGAAACACAGCTGGCTGATGTTCAGAGGCCTGGGGCCTGCGGATCAACATCTCTGCACATTCCTGGGAAGGTGATACTGCTGCTCCAGGCACCACACTTTGACAACCACTGACTTGGAGAGTAAAGCTCCGTTCCTGCGCCCACACAAAGCTTCCCCAGCCTGGCCTCAACCTACTTTCCAGCGTCTTCTCCCAGCTCCCCTCCCCTCGCACAGCTCAGTCATGGTCACACTGTGCTCTTGAAGCCTCGCTCAGGAGGCAGCTGTTCACACCTTGGCGGGTTCCTTTCTCTGGAAAGTCACGTTCCGCATGACACCGCCCTTTCCACCCGCCCCAGCCCTTCTCTGGCCCAAAGCTGCTGTGAAGTCCCTGTTTGCACGCCACCATACTCCACGACAGCGCATACAGCCAGAGTGGTCTGTCCACTGTCCACCTCAGGAACCTGGGCAGCCTCTGCTGCTCCAGCTCCGGGACACCGTCACCGAGGGAGGGAACAAAAGTTTGAGCAAGAAAATGCAGATGAATAGATGGAGAAGCTGAGTGGGTGAAGAGACAGGGAGGAGTCAGCACGGAGCCACTGAGTCCTGAGCCCCAGGCCAGGCCAGGCAGGAACATACCCTGGGGCTAGCTGGCCGTCGGGTCCTTCTCCACAGATGCCCATGGCGACCTGCTGGCCCTTGGGTCCCAGAGTGCACAGGCACAGCCAGGGCAGGGGCCTGCCTTCCAGGTCAGGGCTTAACCTGCCAGCTCTCACACACCCTGGTAGTTCTCAAAGGTAGACACAGGCATCCAGGCCTCTGCAGAGTGGATGCCTTGTAGGACCAGGATACCAGTGCTTTCCCCCGAAACTAGCAATAGGAGTGGGATGTGATGGCACACGCCTGTCCTCCCAGTGCTTGGGAGGCTGAGGAAGGAGGACTGTGGTGAGTTCGAAGCCAGCCTGGGCTACATAATGAGTTCAAGGCCAGCCTGAAAACTACACAGCAAGACCTTGCTCAAAAAAACCAAAACAATAAGTCAAGATGGTAGCAAACTAGAATTGGAGACCTGTGGTGCTGGACTCATCTCCCCATACACATGGGAACCCAACTTCCTCCAAACCCGTGAAGGAGGCCTGCTTTTGCTCTGGGAGACATAAATGGACCTGAGAACACTGTCAGGGATGGTGCTCGCTGGAGCGGTAACCTCTAGGAGGCTTTGTGTCCTTTACACCCTGGAAATACTACTACTCACCTTGCAGTAACTATTGACATGAAACAGGATATGTTGCTGCCGGGCATTGCAGTGCACACCTGTAGTCCCAGCACTCTGGGAGGCCAAGGCAGGAGGATCACAAGTGTGAGCCCAGACTGGGCAAATTAGTGAGATCCTATCTCAAAAGTGCTGGGGATGTCGCTCAGTGCAAAGGCTGTACAAATCCTTTTGTACAGGGGAGGTGAGCGAGGCAGAGGCCGTGGGTCCAGCACCTACAGGCATCTGTAGTAGAGAATAACTAGAGTTCTCAGGACAGATTTTGCAAAGTTCAGTCTGTTCCCTAACTAACCAGGCCCAATCTGTTTACTAGCATTCTTTTATTTATTTATTTATTTATTTATTTATTTATTTATTTATTTATTTTGAGACAGGGTCTGTCTATGCAGTTCAGACTGGCCTTGAGCGCACTTTGTAGCCCAGGCTGGCCTCGAACTCACAACGATCTTCCTGCTTCAGCCTCCCGAGTGCTGGGGTTACAGATGTGCGTCACCATACCCCACTTTTCCTTATGTTTATAACATCTTCTTCCCTCCTCTCACTTAGGAGTCTACCCAGTTGTGGAACCTTGGCTCTCACTCTGCCTTCTCCACAAAGCCATCCTCATTGCTGGAGCGCTGCACAACACCTGTTGTCCTCATGGTCTGGCCTGGCAAGGATGGGGATGAGTGGTTAGTCAGGAACAGGTCTGTACACAGGCCTGCTGTGTGTGGCTGCATAGGTTTGTACCATCCCTCCCTGGCAGTAGGGCACACTGTTCATATAGACTATGGTGGGATGGGGTCCCCCTGAATTATATAATGAAGAGGCTATGCGTCCTGGTCAAATGGCCTGAGATTGAATCCTGACTCAACCACTCAATGGATGGCCAAGCAAGGTATGAAACTCCTAGACACAGTTTCCTCATTTGTGAGTAAGATGTTTTCAGTACCTACCATACTGTTAGATAGTCAAACAAGCTGAGAATGGTATCTGAAGCCGGACACAGTGGCACGTACTTATAATCCCAGCACTCTGGGAGGCTAGGGCAGGAGGACTGAAAGTTGGAGCCCAGCCTGGGCAACTAGTGACTTAGTGAGACCCTGTCCCAAAATTTAAAAGAAAAAAATTTTAAAAAGGCTGGGGGCTGTAGCTCAGTGTAAGACCCTGGCTGGATTCAATCCCTAGTACAAAAAAATAAAACTGCCAACAATGAAACAGTTCCCAGTACTTGGCTAACGTTTGCTGACCACTTGACTTAACTGTCATTATAACAGCTGGTTTCTTTGCTTTTCTAAGAAGGCTATGAGCAACTTGGGGACAGTGCATCACTGACAAACTGAGGCAGCCTGACCTTGAACCTAGTGGGAGGGAGGGTCTCATTGTGTCTCATCTCTCAGGACCGTATTCTTTTTCCCAAAATCCATGTTTATTAGGCCTTTTTTGGTTACAAATGACAAAACTCCAGAGCAAAATACTTAGCCAGTGGCGGCAAACCTATGGCATGCAAGTTATTTTTCTTTAAGACAAAAGATGTTAATGTATGAGTTGCTTTTTCTAAACTTAAAACTTCAGTATTCAGGTTTAATTGCAGGGCTGGCACTTTGCGATAAATAAGTGGGTTTGGGGTTGCAGTTTGGAGGCTCATCTCTAAAAGGTTTGCCATCACTGGCTTACAGTGGAAGAAGCATTTGTGGCTGGAATCTCTAGAAAGCCCAGTGGTGGCTTCAAACATGACTGACCCAGACCCCCAACTCCACCATGAGGACACGATGCCTGCCATGTCCTGTCTGCATCTCTGAGCCGGTTTAATTCTCAGGTACGTTCTTCCACATGACAGGTAAGCAAGTCACTGAGTGTCTTATGATCCAAAAGTGAAATTCTCACAAAGCGTCTCTTAGAAAGGCCTTTGAACAGTGCAGCTGAGGCCACATGGCCACCCCCTAGACCAATGACTGTGGCTCAAGGGATGGGGTGCTGTGATCAGCCAGGATGGGGCCATGTGTTCCCCCGTTTGATGATAGTCCCACAAGAGCTTTCTGCGGTAGGGTGAGGGCATTTACCCAACACAAAGATGGTATCTTCTTTATGGCTAAGTCACTACCTCAGGGAACCTCCCCTGTACCAATGTGGACCTTAATTTCTCACAGTGAGTTGCAAATTATTCAGACTTGGACTAGTCTGGGAAGAACTCATGGTAGCAATGGAACATATTTATTTCCTGTGTCCCTCAGGCCTAGCTTCCTGCCCAGGCAGGGGGGCACTGTTCGTGGCCTACTCAGCACATGCTTGCTAGTCCACCTGTCTCCTCATGGCTGTGGACTAGGGCTAGCAGAATCCATTCCGGCTAGTTCAAACCTATCAGAGATGTCTCGTGCCACAGGGAAGATTCTAGAGCTGGTATGTGTGACTTAATCTAGGGACTGAAGCAGACATCTGTCTGGGAAAGGGCTCTTTGCTCTCTTTTTTCTTTCTTTTTCTTTTTTTTTTTTTTTGTTTTTTCTCCAGTACCAGGAATTGAACTCACGACCTTGTGCTTGCCAGGCAGGCGCTGTGCCACTGAGCTATATCCCCACCCCTCTTTGCTCTTCTTGGTGGGCACTGAAGCCAGCTGGCTCCTGCCCTCGCCAGTGTCAGACATAAATGAGGAAACTGGTTTCAACTGCTACTGCCTGCCACCCTGGGCTAGAGGGGAACCCACTTTACCAGGAAGCTCACCCTGTAGAGATGTGTAAAGAACCTGGCTTTGGCCAGGTGTTGTGGCACATGCCAGTAATCCCAGCACTGTGGAGGCTGAGGCAGGAGGCAAGTTCAAGCCAAGCCTGGAGACTTTGCAATACCCTGCCTCAAATAAAAAATAAAAAGGGCCGAGGATGTAGTTCAGAATGAGGAAGCAAGGTGTGGTGGCTTGCACCTGTAATCCCAGTATTTGGAAGGCTGAGGCAGGATTGCTGTGTTTGAGGCCAGCCTGGGTTACAAAATGAGTTCTAGGCTAGTGTAATGGTTGATACATTGTATCAACTTAAGTCTAGAATTTTAACTAAATAACTAGCAGTTCCACATGCTGAGGTGGAGAGGATTTGCCCTTATGTTCTACAACCTTATTCACTGTATCAATTTGAGCAGTTTAGTTTAATTAAGTGACTTAGCAGAGGGCCAGGGTCCTTACTTTGTAAACAGCCTGAGCCTGTGCAAGAGGAAGGCACAGAGATGGTATGAATGCTACATATACCCACCAGAGGGCCATAGCCTGCTTATAAGCGAGGAAAAGAGGTTTGCTCTTCCCCTCTTTTGCTCTTGCTTTTGCTGTCTCCTGACATCTTGAACTGTGTCGTGCTGTCTTTGCTCTTGCTTTTGCTGTCTTCTGACACCTGTGCCGTGCCACCCTGCCTTGGAGCCAGCTGATTATGGACTAAAACGTCCACATTGTGAGCTAAATAAACCTTTTCTTCCTTAATTTTGGGCATTGGGTATTTTGTCTCAGCAACAAGAAAAAGGAAACCAAGACAGCCAGCAGGAACTGCATAGTGAGATCCTGTCTCAAAAAGACCAAAAAAAAAAAAAAAAAAAAAGGCAGGCCTGGGTTCAATCCCCAGTACCATAAAAAACCAAGAACCTGATCCTTCAATGTCTGCACTGCCTCAGTTGCTGCACTGGCCAACCCTGGTCCAGGACTGCCCAGCCCCAGCCAGTGTGTTTCTGGGGTGTTCTGTTACACAGCCACAGTAGCCTCAAAAAGAGGAGCTTGGAAAGAGCCTCTGCAGGAACAGCACTGGTGAGTGAACACAGACTGACAGCTACCAGCCTGCCTCCTGAATCTCTGCCATGAGCACCAAGGACTGTGGTTCCTTCCTACCCCAGTAACAGCCAAAACTGGATTTTTTTTTTGCAAAACCACAGCAGTCACTTTATTCTTAAATTTGCACTTTACAAAACCACAAGGCAAAAGTCCTTGAGGGGGAGAAGGGAAGGGGAATGGGGAAGAAGGAAAAGAGGAAGCCCTAGACACAAAGCCCCATCTTGGGGCCAAGCAGAAACTGGGCTTCAGGCCAGCCCGCAGGGCCTCCTGCATCCCGCCTGGACAGAGCTGGGCCAAAATTCATGAGAAGGGCCACAATCTTCTCCGGACTGTCACCTTCTCATGGGCAGCCCCAGGCGAAGGCTTCTGGTGCCCAAAGAAGGAAGTGGGCCTCCCTTAGGCGAGGGCAAGCAGTTGAGGTGGGACAAGGACTACCCATCCAGCAGCTTCAGGATGCTCTCCCGCTCCTTCAGCGTCTTCCAGGCCTGATCCTTTTCCTTCTTGGTGGGCGTCCGCTTCTTCTGCCGCGCAGCCATGATCTTGCGAAAGGCATCCATGACCTCATTGTCTGCCATGCGGACTCGCTGCCTCAGCTCCTGCCGGCTCACCTCTTCCTTTGCCAACCTGTGGGGATCAGCCAGCCACTTCACAGCATGGCCCCGACTTCCTGCAGATACAGCCTCCCCGCAGGCTGGCCCTCCTGTGGCATATTCCATACCATCATACCAAAGCACATTACTAAACATGCTCATGTGGCACTACATGTCAGGTCCTTTTTGTGTGGAAGGGTACTGGGCATGTTAGGTAAGTGCTTTACCACTAAGCAGCACCTTTTGTTTTGTTTTGTTTTTTTGCAACAGGGCCTTGCCATGCAGTTCAGGCTAATTTTGAACTCACTATATAGCCCAGGCTGGCCTCAAACTCTTGCTTCAGCCTCCTGAGCACTGGGATTACAGGCATGCACCACCATGACCAGTTACTTGTACCATTTTAAATAAAATATTGTAAAGGCCCGGGACTGTATGCAGTGGTAGAGCACTTACCTAGCATGTCCAAGGCTTTGGGTTCAACCTCTAGTTCCTCATGGGTGGGGGATGAGGTACATGTGTGGATGCAGGGGGTGTTTATGGGAAATCTCTGTACCTTCCTCTCAGTTTTGCTGTGAACTTAAGACTTTTCTAAAAAAAAAAAAATTTCCTTAAACACACACACCCCTGGGCATGAAGAGACAGAAGGGCCAGCCAGGTAAGGGAGTGTGCTAGGCCCAGTCGGAGCTATGTGAAGCTAAGACAGTGCCTATCTGGAGAAGCAAGGAGTCTTGTGTAAGTTGTTTATCTCCCTAATGAAAGGGCAGCACTAGGGGCTGGGGACTTAGCTCAGTGACACAGCACCTGCCTGGTAAGCACAAGGTCATGAGTTCAATTCCCAGTACCGGGGGGGAAAAAAAAAAAACCCAGTCCCGCAAAAAAAGGAAGAGCAGCACTTAACTGTGCTACTTACTGGACTCCTCCAAATGTCACCTATACCCTTGTTCTGACCAACACAGGAAGAGATGGATGTAAGCTGTTATAACAGGAGTGACACTGATTTCTGAAACACTGGTCATCTTTAGGTTGGGCCAATAAAAATCATAATGTCCAACAAAATACTAATAGCTGATCTGTCTAGGTAAAGACTTTATTGGTATTCTTTCTGATCTTTTTTTTTTTTTTTTTTTTTTGAGACAGGGTCTCACTATGCAGTTCAGGCTGGCCTTGAGCTCACTTTATAGCCCAGGACAGTTCGAACTCGCAACGATCCTCCTGCCTCAGCCTCCCAAGTGCTGGGATTACAGGCATGTGCCACCATGCCCGGCTTTGTATTTTTCATAACATGAAGTTAAATTGTGAGGAAAAAGGAAAATAAACCTGAAAAAGACTTCAATAAAATAAGCCACACAACATGAATACAGTCAACACTATTGAACTGTACACTTAAAATGGCTATGAGTGTAAATTTTACATTTTTCACATGTAAAAAACACCAGTCAGTCCATGCCAGGTGCCTGAGCCCCACTCCCTGGCTCAGAATCTGAGTGTGCCCCGTGGGGTGGCACCCAGCACCAAGGGGATGCAGGGGCCCAGCCAGGACTGCGGGGCCCAACAGAGCCCTGGGAGGTGACCAAGTGGCCAAAGGCTCCCTGGCCAACCCTGGCCATCCTCCTCACACTCACCTCAGCAGGTCATGCTTCTTGGTGCGGTTGTGGGCACTGAGGGCCTTCAGCTCGGCCTGCCGTTTGCGCAGCTCAGCAAGGACCTCATCCTCTGAGTCCTCTGCAGGGCGGTCCTCTGACTCCAGCAGGCCCTGGGCAATCAGCTCCTCTTTGATGCGGCTTTCCAGGGACTTGGTGTGTGGCACACTGGGAGCGAGGAGGCACCTCAGGATCCAGGGAGCAGCCCCTCAGCTCAAGGACGGGCTTGGCGGGGACCCTCAGAGGTCCCCAGGGTTCCGAGGCTAGTGAACACCTATCTTTTGCTTTGGGAACCCTCTTGCCCAAATATGTGTGTTCCAGACTGTGTTAGTAGTAATTATAATATTTTGCTATATATTATTTCAGGTTTTTTCCCCTATGTGCACATGTTCGTATCTATTTTAAGTAAAGATAGGATCATACCATCTGTAGTGGGCTATAATGCCCATTTTCCCCATTTGGTACTGTACCGTCCACATCCTTTCCTGTCAATTAGGCAAATTTCTCTGACATGACTAACAGCTGCAGGTTACTTTATTGTAGATATTATGACAGTTTACCCTGCCACGCCCTTTCAGTGGGCATCTAGGGTATTTACATACGAGCACTGTGAGAAGCCAGCCTGCACTCAGCCTGTGTGTAGACAGCCAGGGCCAGCACTCAGCAGCCCGCCCTCCGCCTCTCTCTGCTAAGGAAGACTTCCTATGTCTAGATGGCCAAGCCTCGAGTGTAGCTGGGACATCACTTACCTGAAGGGCTTGTTCTGATTGCGGGGAGAGGTGCTTGCCCCATCGGCCCCAGATTCTTTCCCAGACATATCGGGAATGGGAGAGTCCTCCATAGGGGAAATAATATTTTCCTAGAAAACCACAGCAATGGGTGGAAGGACAAAGAGCTATAGTGTTTCCATATTCTTGCTCCTCCCTGACTATGGGCAGTCTTCACAGATCAGAAATATCCTGTAGAATTTCCCACATCTTCTGGGAAGCCTTGCTAGAAATTTCTTTTCTTTTTGATATGACACTATAAGGAGGGAATACACGAGACAGTAGTGCTTGGCAGGGAGATGGGAACAGCTGGGATGCACTAAGCACTTGCAAGGCCCCCAGCACTGCAAAGCACACAGGGACAGGGGCTTCGAGCTGTCCCAACACCACGCTCTCCTTTCCTCCACAGCAGCTGGGCTGCACTGTTTCCCAGGTTTCCTTCTAGTCAGCTGTGGTCACAGGACAGTCTCTCCAGTGGAAAGAGATCAAGAGAGAAGAGCCACAGCTACATTCCAAAAGGCTTTCTCCATACTCCTCTTTGTTCCATTCTTTCCCCCTACTACTGGGGATTGAAACAATTTTTAAAACAAAGTCTCTCTAAATTGCCCGGGCTGGCCTCAAACTCGCAATTCCTCTGCCTTAGCCTACTTAAGTAGCTAGGAATATACCCAGATCTTCTTGTTCAACTCCTTGGAGTGGCAATCACACCCAGAATGCAAAGACACCATCGGGTGGGATCTCCTTCTGATGGTGTAAGGCAGAGACCTCCCCTACGCCTGCCTTAGTCGACCTGCAATATATGCCCCAGACCATTATGTGACAGAGAAAGACTGTGTTTGAGCAAAAAGAAGAATGTGAGTGTCCATGAGGTGAGACAGTCTGCCTACTGCAAGGCAGTGGTTATAAAGATGGAGACGCTGACGGTCTGGACCCTACCTTTGTTGTCAGCTGTGTGATATTAAGCAAGGAGTTCGTTTGCTGAGACCCATTTCCTCGTATGTGACATGGAGCCGCCACTGTCCTGGACTCCACTGTGGGGATGTGTGGAAAGGCGCCTACACAGGGACCTGTACTCAGCCAATGCATAGCAAGAGTAACTGGATGAACAGCTATCTTGGAAGAGATCAGAGACTAGGAAGGGCATGAAAGTCACTTGTGGGACATAGTAATGTTTTGTGGTCTCCAGATGGTAATAGGCTCCTTTGTGAACATTCTTCAAGCTGATAAACATGAAGCATTAAAACAGGAAGGAAACACGTTTCCTGTCTTGAGTGGGAGTGCTCACCTCCACCAAGGCCTGAAGGAGGCGCTGTGTCAGGGCGCCAAAGGGGCACCCATCTTCTGGCTGCTCGTGCTGGGCCTCAGACTTCTTCAGCAGGGCATCCACATCTGAATGTGCAGAGAAGTGGGCAACATGTAGATGAAGTCCTGGGAACTCAAGATCTGGCCTGGCACGGGCAGTGGGGAGGGGCCTACCTTTAGTGTCCAGTTCAGTCAGTGGCCCCAGGAGACCCTTCTTCTTGTCAGCCACGGCTGCTGCCCGGGCCCCATCCTTTTGCTCCTCCAGCAGGTCCTCTTGGGCCCAGCGCTGGGAGTAATGCTTTCCCAGGGGCGGGATCTGGGGGGAGGTGGCCACTCAGCCCACAGACTCTAGAGCATGCAGGTCTCTCTTTGCACTCAGCACTGCTTTCCCCTCACTTCCTCCCTGTCTGTTCATTTATCTGTCTCCCTAGTTCCTAGCCCAGGGGCAAGGCCAGCAGACAGACAGGTCAGGAGGGACAGGAGATAAAATCTGCACACTTACTCTCCTAGAAAGAGCCAGGCTCATAAAGAACCAGAACACACACAGAATTTAATATGGAACAATTCCAAGATATAGGTGTAAAACTGTGCATATCCATATCCTTTTAGTCACAGCTTCTGCTGCTAACAAGGAAAAATAAAGGCCTCTGGGTCTGCAGTAAGAGAATTACTCCTGTTGCTTGAATTTACTATTGCCTTATTTAATTGTGGTGCTGGGGACTGAACCCAGGGCCTTGTACATGCTAGGCAAGTGTTCTATGACAGAACTGCATCCCCAGTTCTCAAATCATTTTGTTATTGTTTTGCTTTTGGGGCCAAGGATTGAACTCTGAGCCTCGGATATGAAACTAGAGAGGGGCACTGGGCTGTGCCACTAAACACGGAGGCACTGGGACGCAATCTGTGGCTAGCAGAAGCAGGAAGCTGTATCATGAGCCTGTGATAATGGCAACTGACGTACGGGAGAGTTCTATCCCCGGGGGCTCTTAACCATCTCACGTGCATTGTAACACAGCATGCTTTAAGCCTAAAAATGTTTTTAAACCAAGTGCAGTGATGCATGCCTGTTGTCCCAGCTGCAAGGGACTGGAGAATTGAACACAGGGCCTTTGTGCTGGGCCACACCCCAGCTCTTTTTTATTTTTCTGAGATAAAGTCTCACTAAGTTGCCCAGGCTGGACTCTAACCTGTGATCCTCCTGCCTCAGGCTCTCACACTGCTTTGATTAGAGGTGTGTACAATCACTCCTGGTTACTTTTCTCTATTAAAGTAAGAAAAAAACAATCCCTCTAGAGACCTAAAAGTGGGGAGACTATCAAGAGACTAGATAAAAGGTCATGAGGGAGCCAGGTTTTTACAAGCCACACTTGTAATCCCACCACTCGGGAGGCTGAGGCAGGAGGATTCGCCACAAATTTGAGGCCAGCCTGGGATGCACAGTGAGCTTAAGACCAGTCTGAATTGTACAGTGAGATCCTGTCTTAAAAAAAAAAAAAAAGATCACTAAGGACTAAACCTAAGCAGACGGGACAGAGGTGAAAGGACAAGAACGCATCTCACTGGTGTAGATGCCTGAAGCTATGGGGAACTTTGGCAGGAGCCAAAGGAAGGTGGTACCAGGAAAAAGTAGAGTTTGAGCCTGGGTGTCTGGACGGACTAAGGAACCAGACAGGAGGCTGGGTGGGTTCAGCAGAGGCAGGGGACATATGGCTTTGTTATCTATGATTCAGAGGCACCTCTGACCCTCCTATCTTCTCCCATTCTATGGAGGTCCAGGATCTCTACCTTGTAATGTTCAGCCTCATCTTCTGGGGGCTTCAGGAGTTCCTCTAGCGTGCGTACCTCCTCACTGGTGATATCAGCACAGTAGGGTTCCACAGAGGCCCAGAACCTGCAGGGAGGACAGAACCAGAGTGGACACCTCTGTGACCCTCCAGCCTCAGCCCAGCCCCCAATACCAGTATTCCAAGACCCAGCTCTGGCGGCCCCCCCCCCCCCCCCAAACCCATGCACCCAGCCCCCCCCCTGGGCCCCCCCCCGTTCTCCTGCCCAGAACCTGTTAGGGGCATCGTTCTTGGGAATCCGTGGCACATCAATTGGGTCATCAGTGAATTCATACTCTTGGATCTTGGGTTGAAGGTTTTTGGATTTGGGTCGCCCAGGGCCGGGGCCTGGCCCATGTCCGGCCTTCCCTTCCAGTTTCTGTTTCTTGGGCTTCCCATGTTTGGGAGGGGCTCCAAGCTCATGGTCTCGACCCAGCTTCAGGAATCGCCGGTCACCTTTCTTATCCTGCCAGTCAGTGAGGATCTGAAATGTACAGAGATTGTTACTAAGAAGAAGGGAAAATACAGGACATTCTTTCCCCCAGTGAATAAATAAGGATAAGAATCGAAGGCAGCTCCAAGAGCTTCCTCATGTTCTTTTTGCTGAAGAAACTCCTACCCATTGTTCAAAACTCAACCTCTTTTGTCTTTTTTCTTTCTGTGTAGTTCTGGCTGGGCTTGAACTCACTATGTAGCCCAGGCTGGCCTTGAATTCAAGGTGATCCTTCTGCCTCAGCTTCCCAAGTGCTAGGATTACAGGTGTGCGCTACCACACCAGCCAAAACGCAACCTTTTGATTTGTGGCCCTGTTTCATCCCACAGAACTTTATTCATACACTTCTCACAATTCCATTCACTTTCTGTCTGTACTCTGACTCATCTCTGTTCACCTAGGCTAGTCAAACTTTTTTTTTTTTCCCCAGGAATAAAACTCAGGACCTTGTACTTGCCAGGCAGGCACTGCACTGCTGAGGTATATCCCTGGCTCACAAACTGTTTAGCATAAAAGTCAAGTAAGGATGACACCTGTGCCTGTTAGCCCTGCTAAATTTGCTGGTGGGACCTTTTGGTGAAGGCAGGCAAGATTTCCAGCAAACCTTCACTTCAAAATTACTCCCCCTGGGATGCCTTCTCCCCATCAGTTACCTGGCTTCTTTGATGTTAAAATACAACTGATTGTGCCATAGCCTCCTCGAAAGATTCCATGGCTTTCCAGGGACTACATGTGAATTTTACTTGCCCACTGAGATCCAACTGAACTGGCACCTTCTTCCTTCTCCCTCTGTGACTTCCTAACACTTTGTGTGCCCACTGCAGACCCAGTCAAATTGCTGGACATGCTGGAAGGAACAGCACACCTGTGCATTGCTCAAGTGGACTGTAAGCTACTGGAGAGCAGGACTTGTATCTTTACCACCCGACTCCTCAGGATCCAGCAGAGTGGCTGGCACACACAGCTCAGAGGATATGTACGCAGCAAATAAACATAATCAAAGTCGTACAGCACATAATTTTGTGTGTGTGTGTGTGTGTCTTTTTGAGACAGGGTCTTGCCATGCAGTTCATGCTAGCCTTGAGCTCACTCTGTAGCCCAAGCTGGTCTTGAACTCGAAACAATCCTCCTGCCTTAGCTTCCCAAGTGCTGGTATTACAGGTATGTGCCACCAAGCCCAGCCCAGTATATAATATTTGAAAAGGCTCTGTCAGGGTCAGACATTGAGCTGAGCCTTTGCAAAACTTTTTCTCCTGTAGTACTGAGGACTGAAATCAAGGAGTACTGAACTACATCTTCATTCATTCATTTTAGACAGGGTCTCCTAGATAGTCCAGGCCAGGCTTGAACTCACTATGTAGCCTAAGGTGGCCTCAAATTGTGATCTTTCTGCCTCAGCCTCTGGAGTAGCTGGGACTACAGCATGTGCCACCAAAGCCCAGACAAAATTTTTCTTTTAATTCTCACAAGTTATAAAGGTAGATTCTACTGTTCAGCCCAGTTTGGAGGTAAAAGTCACACACCGGGGTAACAACAACACTAATAAGTACCTAAAGCCAGGGTTCAAATCCGTTTCTCCATTCCCTTTAGCTGGTAAGTTCCTCATGGGCTAAAGTGTCCTGAGATTTTTCTACTAACACAGGCCCCAGAACACAATGGTGGGTAGAATGAGGACCACACAAATTTATGTGCTTTTTTGTTTGTTTGTTTTTTGAGACAAGGTCTTGCCATGTAATTCAGACTGGCCTCAAACTCATGGTGATCCTCTTGCCTCAACCTCCCAAGGGCTGGGATTACAGGCGTGTGCTATCACACCTGTGTCATGTGCATTTTATGTGTCATACAAACCCAATTTCAGTCTCCTTCTCATCCAGTTGGTCTCCTGGCCTGAGCTAACCCAATGACCCATCCCGTAACTTGTCACAGTCCATCTCTGGTGATGTCCCCTGCTTGGGGTATCACCTGGGTTTCAGCTTCCAACACACGTAGGCGCCGACTGGCAGAGGACAGCAGGGTCTCAAGCTCCAGCTGCAGTGTGTCCAACTCCTCAATGCCGATGCCATCGTCCTCAGAGCGGGCCAGCACTGCTGTGTAGCGGGGACAGACCTTCAGGTGGTCCACAGACTTGAAGTCATGGAACTGCAAGGGGCAGTCCTTCAGCTCACTCATGGCCCAGGAAGTGGGACCCTGCAGAGCTGGAGAGAAGGCCACTGGTGAAGACAATTTGGCGCAAGGAATCCCAGGGTTTCTTCCATGGGAGACAGCCTCAGAGACCCAGGCTTTGGCACCCTTACTGACAAGGCCGACAGCACAGTTCAGAATCACAGAGCATCTAGTGCACACCAAGTCAGGTGCAAGGCTTATCTCACCGAATTCCTCACCCAAGCCCATGACCAGGACCGCCAGAGATAGTCTCCTTTTCACAAAACTGCAAACTGAGAACCTGAACCCAGGTAGTCTCTTGCCTGCAGCCATAACCACGGAGATATACCCACTGTGCCCATCTTCCTAATGTTCTTCCTTTCTCTCCTCCAAGGCTCTCCAAAGCCCCTGGGTGTTAAACATATTCTGACTATTCTGCCGGGTCTCTCTGTGCACCTCACTCCACCCTTTCCCCCTCTCCATGCCTAGAAGAGTGGTTTGGAACAGAGCTGGTCTGCCAGACAGAACAGGGTTCTTGCCCCCTACCTGTCATAGGTCCCCCTGAACTTAATTAACCTGAGTTTGGGCTCTGTATGCATAATGAGGTCAAAAGATGTCCGTTTCCCCATAGAAAATATGCATCTGCAAAACGGGGATAACACCAGTACCTACCTCCCCGGGACGTTCTGAGGATTAAGAGAGGCTGCTCGTCAAGAGCCCAATTCAGTGCCTGGCACAGAAGAAGGGGGACTTCTTAAAAGCTGGTCCCACCCGTGGATCGCCCCAATGTCCCGTCCCAGGGTCCTCGTCCCCGAGGGACCCCCTAACGCAGCCCCCGCCCCTCTACCTCCTCTCCGCGGCCTCCTACAGCCCCCAGGGCCGCGGGAGGGGGGCGGGGAGCTCGGGTCAATCGGAGAAACCGCCCCGGAACTATGGGCGGCCCCTGCCGCTCACGCGGGGCGGGCAGACGGCTGGCGCGCCCACTGCGGCTCGTGGTTGCCGGGGTGCGTGCCGCAAGCGAGCCCACTGCCAGGGGGGCTGTTAAGCTGCAGGCGAGCCCTAGGGGACGGCTCGGGTTGGGGGCGGGGCTCAGCGGCGGAATCTCGACAGAGCAGGTACCCCGCCGAGCCGGGGGGCAGCAGGAAGGAGGGGCTGGGACAGGATGGGGGCGCAGAACCGGAAGGAACGTAAGGCTCCTCCGCCTCGGCCTGTCCTAATTTGGTGCCCAACCTAAAGTCGGGCTGCACTATTGCATAACTGGGGGGGCTACGGCAAAAAGACCAAAAAATCCGAAGACCAAAGCGAAAGATGCATGGATATCAGAGGAGTTTGAGTAGTGGTCTGCCACTTTATGGCTTTAAAAATACTAAGTGAGGTCTAGTGTGAGCATTTCCTGACGATCCCATTGTTGCTAGGCTCCAATGTCCCCGCTCGGCACCCAGATGGTACCGCCCGGAAGCCCGGGCGGAGACTGCGACTGCGCGTCCCAAACGGGCAGGCGTCGCGCGCCGGCCACTTCCGCACTTCCGCTTTCCTGCCCAGCCAGCGCCCGCGATGGTGAGAGGGGGGCCCCGGTTGGGGACCCTATCAGTTCTGCCTAAGGGCTGTGGGTTTGGGAAGATGTGGCCTTGCTGCGGAGGCCTTGGGCCGAGAGATGCCAGAGGATGTGCAGGCATGATGAGGGTGGGAGAGAGGCTGGGGCGGGGGTCCGAAGAGAGGAAGGGGCGGATGGGGGACTCCTGGCAAGGGGCAGGCGTGGCGGCTCGGAAGTCGGGCTTCCGAGGCAGGTATGCAGTGTTACTGAGGCGCGCGGGAGCCGAAAGCGGGTCGCTCAGGCTTGCGGCTGTGCCTTGAAGGCACGTAGTGGGCCTCATAGGGCTGCAGAGGTGTGTAGTACTTCCTCGTCCAGGGTAGGGCTCCGCTGAGCACACCCCCACGTCCTCTCCTGTCTTCTGAGCCCCAGTTTCCGAAGGCAGATATTCTCTTTTCCATACTCTTGTCGGTACCCCCAGCCATCCCTCTGCACGAATGAAGAATCTTCCTGCCTCCATTCAGGCCCCTTCCTGCTCAGAGCCAAGCTGTGTTGACCTCACTTTGTGTAAACTCTGATACTGCTGATCCCTCTCCCGGGGAGTTCTCCAGTTCGATATGTTTGGGCGTTCCTGAGAGTTGTGATTTGGCTCCCGACCTTCCCCTCTCAGCGCTCTTCCTGGTGATACTTACCTAGTTCCAGGTTTGGATGACCTTTTGTGGTGACTCCACCATCTGCTTTCCTGGTTCTCTTTCAAGGTTCACCTGGTCATCTTGAAGACATCTTGAAATTAGAGCTGTAGTTCTAAACTCCCCCTTTCTAAACTTGCTCTTCCTCCTAGATAGAAACCTGGGCTTTTCATCTGATTGGGGACATGGTGCCCCCTTACCCCCCCGTACTGGGGATTGAACCGTGGGCCTTCATTTACTGAGCTACATCGAAGCCCCTTTTTTGTTTTGAGATAGTGCTCACTAAGTTGCCCAAGTGGGACTTGAACTTGCAATCCAAGCTTTTTTATTTTTGGTTGTTTTGGAACAGGGTCTTGCTGTGTAGTTCAGGCTGACCTTGAACTCTGCAGTCTTCCTTCCTCAGCTTCCTGAGTACTAGGAGTACGGGCGTGTGCTAGCACACCCGGGAATCCAGGTTTATTGAAGTATTTCATGAAACTATGTTTTATTCGTGAAAGGACCAGATCATGAGGCTGGCCATCTAATTTTTTTTAAATTTTTAATTTTTTTTTTGTACCAGGAATCAAACTCAGGACCTTGGGCTTGCCAGGCAGGTGCTTGTGCCGCTGAGCTATATCCCCTGCCAGGGGCTAGCTATCTAAAGTTCACCATTAGGTTTGCAGTCTATGAATGTGGACAAAAATAGTCATGTAACCACTGTTACAATCAAGATAACATTTTCTTCACCCCTAAAAGTTTTCTCAGGTCCCTTTTTAATCCGTCACATCAGACCTCCTCACCGCAGAAAACCACTGATGTCCTTTCCTTATCATTTTGCCTTTTCCAGACTCCCATATAAGTGGAATTTTTCAGTACGTAGGCTTTTTTAAAGAAATAGTAATTATTATGCTAGAAATTGAACTCAAGACTTTGCATGTGCTAGACAAGCATTCTACCACTGTATTACCCCTGACCACTAGTGTGTGGGTGACCACTACTACGTGGACTTCTAGGTGTGGTTTCTTGCCATAATACATTTGAGATCCATTCATGTTGTGTCAGTTGTTCCTTTTTATTGCTGCATGCTATTTCATGGTATGGCCACAGTCTGTTGGAAGTTGTTTTTTGATTCTGTTATGTTCTGCACCTAATGTCACTCCAATCCATGTGATACTTTTTGCTTGTCTGCTCCACCAACCCAGACCAGCCTCTGATAATCATTTCTTAATGTGTCTCACTTCCCTCTCTAGTCCCTTCTCAGAGTTGCCATGCAGCAGCAGTCATGTAACTTCCTCCCCAGAAAGCCCCAGTAGTTCTTGCTACACCAAAGAGCTAAGTGTGTCCTAGCCTGCCACTGCAGCCTCAACTATACACCCTAAAGTACTTCCCATGTACAGGAACTTTGTACTCATTACTACTTCTGGAACTCATAATGCCTTTTGTGTTGTAGCCTTGCTTTGTTTGTTTTTTGTTGTTGTTGTTGTTTTTTTTGGTTTTGGTTTTTTTTCCGGTTGTGGGAATCGAACTCACGGCCTTGCGCTTGCCAGGCAGGCGCTGTGCCGCTGAGCTAAATCCCCAGCCCCTGTTTGTTTTTTTGAGACAGGGTCTTGCTATGAAGTTTATGTTGGTCTTAAACTCACTGTGTATCCCAAGATGGTCTGGAATTTGAGCAGTCGTCCTGCTTCAGCCTCCCAAGTCCTGGGATTATAAGTGTGCAGTATTGTACCTGGCGTCGTTTTTTGTTTTTTTTTTTTTTCCTTTTTGAGATAGGATCTCACTATGTAGTTCAGGCTGTTTTCAGTCCTGCCTCAGACTCTCAAGTGCTAGGATTAAAGGTATGTGCAACCATGCCCAGCTTGGGGCTTTCCTTAAATAATTTCATTTTTTCATTCCATACAAAATTAGTAAGGCATTGTATATATTAGCTACTGAGTTAGGTGCAGGCTGTGTAATTGAATAAGGTAGACATGATCTGTGTTGGATGTGAGGTTTAGAATCTGGTGAGGAGAAATCACTGTACAAGACATATGACAGATGTGTTGTGATAAATTATAATAAATGCATGACAGAAAGTCAAGAAAGGTCTCTGAGGAGGGAGGAGGCCTTCCTTAATCAGCTGAGCACTGAAGGATTGACTTAGACACAGACACCTAGACACATATACTTAGGCATGTGTAATACCTTGAAATGAGAAAGAATTTGACTAATGTAAAAGTGTAACTGACCTGTGTAACTGGAAACATGCCTTTACTGGCAATGTCCTTGCTTTACTTCTCATTTGTAAAATCCTCTTGATCCTATCTACAGTCAAAACCATTTTTTTTTTTGCCAATACGATTACTTACAATACTGATAATTTCACTTTTTTTTTTTTTTTGATAATTTCACATGTAATAAGTTGGATACACGTGTCAATACCATATTGTTTCTCTGGTGTGAGAAACCAGAAATGTAAATATTTCACATTTTATCCTCCTTTATATCATATGTCCCCTACCTAGTTGAGCTGTTTGAGGGTAGAGATGAATTCTCAGCTTGGCAAATAGTTGACCTGTGCATATGTTGGCTTAATAGGCAGATAAAGGACCAGAGTTCTTGAGCCTCAGCACTATTTACTCTTAGGGCTGTGCATCATAGGGTCCTGACCATTTCTGGCCACCTATCCATTTGATGCCAGTCACAGCTCCCACAAGTCACAAGACTACAAAAGGTCCTGACGTTGCTGGATGTCCACTAGTAGGCACAGTCACTCCCTATTGAGAACCACTGCTCTGAACTTACACCAAAAGGCATCTCACAGGCTTAGTGTGTTCTGCTCCCGGTGTCTGAGACCTGGCTGCCCTCCTTACTGCCTGGCTCCATGTGAGTGGAGTCAGGAGCCAGTCAGTTTAGTGAGGCAGATTGTGATTCTTCCTGACCCCTGGCATTTTTCATACAGACTGCCACTCTGCGCCCCTACCTGAGTGCCGTGCGGGCCACGCTGCAGGCTGCCCTCTGCCTGGAGAATTTCTCCTCCCAGGTCGTGGAACGACACAACAAGCCGGAGGTGGAAGTCAGGTAGGGAAGGGTCAGGGTGGGGATGAAGGAGCAGCTACTGGTATAGCTGCTGCCTAGAGGCTGACATGAATCTGTGTCCTGCGGTGCTCAAGTCAGCTTCAGTCAACATATTTTGTCTTGCTGTCAGATGATTGTTGGTTCCCAATTTGGAGTAAGAAAATAGGGTCAGTGGGTTGGCAGGGCAGGACCCAGGGGAAAAGCTCCTCTGGCGCCAGGATCGCTTGGCCCAGGTGTGACTGGTTAGAGGAGGGCTGTTGATGAAGAATACCCTGGTGGCATTCCTTACTGAGCTCCCTGCAAGTTTCAAAAGCGGTCTGAGCTGCCAACTCTATGTGGTTTCTAATTGAAAGATCAAGGATTTTTTCCCCCTGCCATTCTGGATCCTCTAACTTCAGATATTCCAACTTTCTTTTTAAGGGAGGAGAGGTTTATTTGGTTTCCACCTTGTAGAGGTTTCAGTCCACAGTTGGCTGGCTCCCATGCAGGGTGGCCTGGCAGAGGGGGCATCGCAGAGGGTGGCATGGCAAAAGGTTGAAAAGCAAGCAAAGTAGCAAACCAGCAAGGCAATCCCAGCATTCTGTATTTTGAATGATTTTTTTTCTTGCCTAGTTTTCATTTCATTTCATAAATTCTTCTTTGATTTAAAAACAATTTTGTTTTAGTTACTGGGATTCAATCCCACTGAGCTGCATTCCTAGCCTACCGCTTTGAACTGTAATCTGAGCTGGGTGAGGTGGTGCGTGCCTGTAATCCCAGTACTCAAGAGGCTGAGGCAGGAGGATCACCATAAGTTCGAGCCAGCCTGGTCTATATAAGTTAAGTTCAAGGCCAGTTTGCACCACAATGTGAGAGTGAAATTTTGCCTCAAAAAAAAAAAAAAAAAATCTAGGACATAGGTAACTGAAATAGGCCATGTTATATGAATTGATGATTTGTTTTGGATTTCAAAAATAATACTAGAATGTACTATGTTATTAACATATGTGATTTCCACTAGCATTTTAAAGTTGTCACAGCTTACAGACCACCATAGTTAACTTTGTTTACCAATATCCTAGATAATCAGAGACGATAGCTTGGGACTGAGCTGATAAGGGTCTTAGTAGTAAATAAGTGAATAATTCTGCATTTATAATTAGAGGAGCCTACCACTGGGCATTTAGCTCAGTGATGGATCACTTGCCTGCGTAAGGCCCTGGGTTTAATCCCCAGGAGCCTATAAAAATAAAAAGTAAGCCAGTTTGTTCGATTTAGACTGTCCTCATTGCTAAGGCAGGTGTTCTCCTCATTCCCTCAGTGATGTATTGGTTTGTCTGTAGTTGTCAAAGTCAGCTATCTTTGTAAAGTGCCTCCTGCATGCCAGGCACACCTGTAGACACTTGACCCTTTTTGATCTCTCCCAGTTCTTGCCTGTGAAACACGATCAGGGACATTTTACAGATGAGGAATTTGAATCTAATAGGGTCCCTTGTTCAAGGAATGTAACAGGAGGCTGAGTTTCTAACCCTTTTCACCCTCACTCCAGAGCCTGTATTTTTTTTGCTGGAGCACATCCACCCTGGCCTTCATCTTAGACCATCTCTGCTTGAGTCTTCATTCCTTAGATTCCTGTTGCCTTGGATAGTGATTTGGGGCTGGCCTGGCTATTCTGTCCCTCTTATGATGCAGAAGTCTCTGTGACTTTGTGTTCTCCTTCAGGAGTAGCAAAGAGCTCCTATTACAACCCGTCACCATCAGCAGGAATGAGAAGGAGAAGGTGCTGATTGAGGGCTCTATTAATTCTGTCCGGGTCAGCATTGCTGTGAAGCAGGTGAGTCACCATAGAGGAGGCCCAGCACTAGGTAAGAGCTCTCTTCCAAGCCCAGGTCTCCACCTGGGGGATGAGTGTGGCAGACTCAGGCCAGGAAACCTGGGCTCTGCTTTCTTGAATACACTGAAGAAATGATTAGCAAAGCAAGTCTGTAGAATAAAGAGACAGCGACTCCATCTGATAGGCCTTGCAGTGGATTAGAATGCAGGAAGCATAAAATAGTGCCACAGGACCAGTTTAGTGTCAGACGACAGACCATTTCCAAATGATTTGGTTACTTTCTTGTCACTGGACAAATTCCCAGCACTCACAGCTTACACGCAGGAGTGTACTTGGGCTCATGGTTTTGAGGTTGGGGTCCAGTCACCTGACTCCCAAGTCAAAAGCTGAATGGCGGAAAGGTCCGAGCTGAGCAGAGCTGCTCCTGTCATGGCAGTCAGGAAGCAGAGAAAAAAGGGAGGAACTGAAAAATGAGATACACCCTTTCAAGTTGTGTCCCCTGCAGCCTGGACAGCCAGATAGCCCCCACCTTCTGCCAAGCATGACACTGTGAACCCATTGGGGATGAGTTGATGAGTGTGGCACCCCATGATCCAGTCGCTTTCCAAACACAAGACTGAGTAGACACTTCAGATCCAGAACATAGCCGGGCGTGGTGGCACACGCCTGTAATCCCAGCACTTGGGAGGCTGAGGCAGGAGGATGGTTGCGAGTTCAAGACCAGCCTGGGCTACAAAGTGAGCTCAAGGCCAGCCTGAACTGCACAGCAAGACCCTGTCTGAAAAGACCAAAAAAAACAGATCCAGAACATAAACACCAAGGAATGGAGAATGTGTCCACTTTAGAAAAGTAGGCAACACCAGTACCAGTCTGATAACCATGGTATCATGGTTATCTTCAACTGCCACTTAGTTGAAGAAACAAAGTGCCATGCCTCATATGTTTCCTTAGTTAATTTTTCTAAGAGGTAGCATAAAAACAATAATTTTATTTTTATTCAGTAATTTTTCTATGTGTGGTATATTTTTAAAATACTCAGTACATAACACAAGGTTACAATCTGGACAGTAGTATCTGTTTTCTTTCTGAATTCTTTTTTTTGATACTAGGAATTGAACTCGGGACCTTGTGCTTGCCAAGCAAGGCACTGTACCACTGAGCTATATCCCCAGCTCTTTCCGAATTCTTTTTTGCACTGCTGTCTTTCTTTGGACAACACACTTTACACTGTACAGTTGGCCTTTCCTTTTTTCTGTGGTGGTATCATTTCAATAAAATGTCTGCACTAAATATGGTGAGGACATCAATGATGGACATTGTGGTTGGTGTTTCACTCTCCCGTGTTTTTCAGTTATTTGGTCTATTAGAAGTAATCTAAAGTGTAACAGACTTTGTAAACTCTATTGTTTTGAAGAAATAACAAACAACCTCCAACCACTGTTTGGTCAAGAAGGTGCATAAATATTTTATATTAGTTTTTTTTTTTTTTTTTTTTTTTGTTTTTTGTGACCAGGTGTTGCTAATTGAGGCTGGCTTTGAACTCCAGACCAGCCTTAAACTTGAAGTAATCCTCCTGCCTCAGCTTCCTGAGTGCTGGGATTGCAGTCATGTGCCACCACATTGGCTTTTTCTTTTTGATTACAGGATAGTGTCTTAGAGGTTGGTCAACTCTGTCAGTACGACTCATAGAATTATAATCATTGACTGCTTTGTTTCAAGTTCTATCATTTCTGTATTATGAACAGTTGACAATAAGGAGATACCTTTTTTGTCTTTCCATTTCATAATCCACACCTTTCCTCCCTGATGTGCTAACATTTTTCCTTTTTTCTGTGTTTTTCTTTTTTGGTGGCAGATCTTTTGGCACTTACTTCCTATTCAGTCACAGTGTCCCAAACATGGCCATTTTGTATTGTAAAAGAACATCATTGAGCTCTGGAGGAGAACAAATATTATAGCCAATGTACTTAGGATAAGAGTTTTTATAGATTGTAACACAAAATTACAGGTTTTTTTTCACAAGTAAAATAAAAAGTTAGTAAAAGAAAATAACCAGAAGTGATTAGATTTTACTACAAATATACATCAATGTGAATACAATGTTCTAAGTTAAAAAGTATGCCAAAAATATTCAATATAAAACAAATATTGACGTGTTGAAATGATACCTTCTGAGTGATGCTGAGTGATCCCTGGGGATAGTCAGGCCAGGATAGTCAGGTTGTAAACACATGTGCTGCCCAAGTGCCACTGGCATGAACTATTAAGTAGTTAATAGGTTTTTTAAAAATTTGACTGGCTTCCTTTTACTTAAATTAGAAAAAAACTGTGGCTAAGTGGAAAAACAGTATCACTTGGCACAATGGAAGGTAACTAAAAATAAACACAAAAGCAAACCTTATTCAATTCAGACTAGATACTGTTGCATAGGGGAAGCTTCTCTGAGGCCTGCTGTCTTTGGAGAAGTAGAAGGTAAAGGAGTGGTGGGAGGTATTCCTGGCATTCTGGCCTCTGGCTGCAGAGTTCTGCCCTTTTAGATACTGGGAGAGTAGAAAAGGGAAACCTGTGAGGATTGTTTAGTTTTCCGTGTTACCAAGCAGAGGCTGCCCGCGGTTGCCTCTGACACTGGGAGGGGTGTGCCACACATTTTGGGAAGTGCAGCAATGGAGAAAGGGAAGACAGGTCTGAATTAAGTGTAGACTCTGTCTTTTTTTTTTTTTTTTTGAACTCAGGATCTCATGCTTGCCAGGCAGGCACTATGCCACTGAGCTGTATCCCCAGCCCTAAGTGTAGACTGTGAAGAGCTGATGAAAGTTTCTGGTTTTCCAGAATTACCTCTGGACTGGCTAAGGGTGAGATCACAGTAAGGCCTCCTTAGTTAGAGGCACTAAGGTAGATCCTCCTTGCATGCAGCAACCAAGTCCCCACAGTTCAGAGTTCAGGCAGTGATTGTTCCTATTATTAACCACTGTCTCCATCAAGCCTGGAGAAAGTTGGGGTCCCAGGCTGTGGGGATTAGGGACTAGGACAGTGATGGGGAACCTTTTTGAGACCAAGTGCCTAAACTGCAGCTGTGAAAACCCACTTATTTATTGCAAAGTGCCAGCACTCTGTGTGCGCTGTTACTGACACTCGGCTGCTGGGGCCAGTTGGCTTGTGAACTGACAGGGCTCTGGTACCAGCTGTGGCACATGTGCCAAAGATTCGCCACCACAGGCCTAGGATGTCAGCTTTAGAGAATCATCTTTCTCTGTTCTCACTAGGCTGATGAGATAGAGAAGATTTTATGCCACAAATTTATGCGCTTTATGATGATGCGAGCAGAGAACTTCTTTATCCTTCGAAGGAAACCAGTTGAGGTAAGACACTGTGGATCCATATGCTCATCATTCTCAGAATTCTTCCACTGAGTAGCCTAGAATTACTTCTTGAGCCAGGATTGCTGTTTCTATGGCAGTGGCCCCCTTGCTTGAGTTGAGAGTTGGCTCGGGTGGTAGTGAGGGAGATGAGAAGCTTGGGAGAAGTTGGGTCAGTGTTTTTCATCTTCTCAGTGCCCGGGCTCCAGCTGCAGAGAGCCTTTCTCAGCTCTTTCACCTGCTGAGCTGTAGTCTTTAAGAGCCACAGTTAACATGGAGCCAGCTGTTGCCTGGCTTTGTCCTGGAACCCTCTCCACACACTCCCGCCAGGTTAAGTGGAAATGTCCCGAGTGACCTGCCTTAGCCACACAGCAGTGCAGGCAATCATCAGATGTCAAAGGTACTGGCCAAGTTCTTTATCTTGAGCCACATTTCCCCTTCCAGTCCTAGATTCAGATTCTAGGGCCTCCTGGTGTAAATTATCTTCCTTACACATCCTCTAGTGTAAAAGACTCCAGTCCTACCCCTCTCACATTATCATTCTGTGAACTGAGTGTTTCTTACTGTTGGATTGGATTCTTCCCTAGCAAGTTCTAAATTCAATTCTTTCTCCCCTGACTCATTTTGAATGGAGGGCCATTTGCGCCACAGTCAAGAGACATCTGGTAATACACAGAATTCTCGCCTGGGTCCAGTTGCTTGGATCCAGCATAGACCCTCACACCTTGGAGGGGACAGGCTGCTCACTGTAAGGCGTGTAGCTCAAGAGGTCATGGCCTCTGGAGGCATGTGGGGGAGTCAAGTGGAGGATATGGCCATCCAGGCGTCCTTGCTGTGGTAATTCTTTCCTGTTTCTCCTCCTGTATTTGTCCCTTAGGGATATGACATCAGTTTTCTGATCACAAACTTCCACACAGAGCAGATGTACAAACACAAGTTGGTGGACTTTGTGATCCACTTCATGGAGGAGATCGACAAGGAGATTAGTGAGATGAAGCTGTCGGTCAATGCCCGTGCGCGCATTGTGGCTGAAGAGTTCCTCAAGAATGTAAGTGGGGGCCTTGCTGGTTTCCTGCCACAGCAGAGGAGCCCTGGGTTGTGTGGAAAACTTAGCATCTGGTGGGTAAATGGTGCAAGCAGGTTGTTCATGTCTCTTGAGGCTGCCAGGTCCGCTGGGTCATAGCCAGTCGCCTGTTGCCCTGGAGCTACAAGGTTCATCTTGGAGTACTGTGAAGTATGGGACAGTTAATCGTGTTGGAACTCCACTTCTCACACAGACTTAAATTCTTCTTTAGCTTCTGTTTCTCAGGGACCAAGGCATGATTTCTTTAACCTCTTTCCCATCACTTTGAGGGTTTCAGGTCTCCAGGTCTCTGAAATTGCTTTACCTTTTTTTTTTTTTTTTGGTCTTTTTTGAGACAGGTCTCACTATGCAGTTCAGGCTGGCCATGAGATCACTTTGTATCCCAGGCTGGTCTCGAACTTGCAACAGTCCTGTCTCAGCCTCCCGAGTGCTGGGATTACAGGTGTGCACCACCACATCAGGCTTACGCCTGTGCTTTTTTAACCAAAAGGACTGCAGTCCTCTGGAGACAAGGAATTACTTACATTGAGAAACTGATGACATAGTTGTTTAGAGCTTCAGGACATGCCTTCTTATTTTCCCCCCTTTTTCCAAACAATCTTTGGTTTGTTGATATGTTCTACTGAGAACTGACTGTAGTCCCAGACAGTACATTTGATGTTTACTCCTAACAGTGCTTACAGACTTCTCTTGAGGAGCTCAGATTCCTAAAATGGAGCTTATACCCCCTGTCTGCCCAGGGTTAATTATGCTGGGGGCCGGGGGACAGCATCCAGTTCCTACATTCTGCACAAGGCAATTGTTGAGCAGACTGAGCATTCAGCCCCCAGGCGTCAGTGTGGCTCCCTCCTTAGTCAGGCTTGTCACGGAACCTCTCAGCCAAGCACTGTCTTAGCTGTGAGATGAGGGTGCTACTAATATTCAGCTTGTTACAAAGGAAACTTTCCATGTGTGGTGGCTGAAAGTTTTATGTCCAGGCCCCTAGAAAACAGTCTCAGTAGTCTGTCACTTACCTGGGCGAGGTTCAAACTTGTGACCCCACTGGCTTAGCCTTCCACAGCACTGGGATTCCAGCACATGTCTCTAGGCCTGGTTTCACGTATGTAAACACCAGGTAGCCCATCTGGGGACTGTGCTCGGTCCTCAGGTATTCAGTCACCGTTCTTGGCCCTGTGGAGGGTACTTGAGGACAGAAAACATTACCAGGCCTGTCCTGGCTGAGAGGATCATGCAGAACGTGACACATTATGCCAAATCCTGGATCCCTCTCCTCAGCTTGCACATTAGTCCCCATGTCTAAAGGAGACGCCTTCCACTCCTGAAGCGCAACATGACAGGGCATGTGGAGCCACCACTGCGACCTGGCCAGTCTTCTCTGCTTGTGTGTGCTAGGCTGAGGGCTGCTAGCTGTATGGCACACTGCTGAAGGCTGGCTGAAGCAAGTGTCCCCGTAGGGTGTCATAGGCCCCAAACTGGCCTTCAGGTGTGAGCACCGCTGTAGCTCTCATGTTGTCTCCTTCCCTGGAGCAGGCCCAGCAGGAGACAGACTAACCATTGTTCACTGCCTTTTGGTTCTCTTGACAGTTTTGAACTACCTGGCTGGATCTTGAGGCCTTCCCCTCAGCCTCCCCGTCTTTCTACATGTCTGCGATCTGCGTGTCTATGAGTCTGCGAGGGCGTCCTGGAGTCACCTCCCAGAGTGGCGGCAGCAGTGACTGCAGTGGCGGTGGCAGGGAGCTGGGGAGGGTGGGCATCGGATGCGGGAGGGGGGTAGTGTGCTTGCTAGCTGGACAAGAAAGCAGCGTGGACCTGCCTCAAGGCCACATGTGCCTGGTCAGGCTGGCTTCTGATGTTCAGTCCCCTGGGCTGGGACACTTGTTTTTTAACGTCTTGAAATTTAACTCTGTGCTTGTGGAAGACTGTAACCTTTTTGTCTTTTTTTTTTTTAAACCATCAATCTCCACCTCCAGTGGCTGTGACTGGTCCCAGTGATTGTACCTTATTGGTCGCTGTGGGTCTGGGCGGGCCTGGAGCCGAAGGCGACAACTTTTTCTCCCTTGTGCCATCCTCGGTGGGGAGAGAGAAGTTTCCGGTTTCTCTCCTTACCCTCTTATTCACAACCCTTTCTGGGCCCAGTAGAAGTGGCAGGAATCCTGCCAGCTCCGGAGCTCTGCTTGAAGATGGCTGCCTAGTGCTGGTTGGGGGTAAGGGCTGGGTTTGTGACTACCAGGCACACCGAGGAGCTGGGGCCCGAAAGCAGGGCACTGCCGGCTGCAGGGGCCGTTGCGATGCCCTGCCAGCTGTAGAGGGCACTGTCTCGCCTGTCAGTGCAGTGCCTATGCTGGAGGTGGAGGGGTGAGTCTTGCAGGTTCCCAGCAGGGCCTCTGCCTGCTCTGGCTCCCCGTTCCCACTCGCTGTCTTTTCTGATTCTGGTGGCTCCTCCCTCTCCTAATTAAAATCTCTTTTTGCCCTTTGGGGCTGCATGAGGTCTGTACTCTTGTGTCTGAACGGGAAGTAGGTGGGGCTGTTCCATCCCGTGCCCGTGCAGCTGGTACTACAGCCTAGAGTCTCCCAGGAAGCAGCGTGGAGCTACTGTTCCTGTGGAGGTCCCAACTCCAAGACACCTCTTCTGCAGTCCCTTGCCATCCATTTCTAGAAGTGCTGTTTTTGCCTACAGAGCTTTGGTGCTTTGCTACAATCTCATTCAGGCTGAAACATAAATAATCGCAGACATAGTGATCTCATTTCATGGTTAAGGAAACAGGCTCTGAGAGTTGGCGTTGCTTGCTCCAGAACCTTCTGCCTATGAGCAGAAGGGTAGGCTTCCACCTGTGTTAAGGCAGCAGTCACTGCCCTCTGTGGCTATTTAAATAAAGTTTAAAATCTGGTTCTTCAGTCCCACTGGTGACATTTCAAGTGTTCAGTAGCTATAAATGACTCATACTTCACATTTCAAACATCACATATATTTCTGTCATCAAAGTTACTCTAGAAAGTGCAGACTTTTTCAGTGACTGATACCTTGAGGTAAACAAAAAACTTGTGAGTCCTGTTTGCTGAATTTGGGCACATTAGTATTCTTTGCCTCTGTTTGTTAATCTGTAAAGTAGAGATGATGAGAGTGAACTGACATAGTCCCTACCACACAGGCACTGAGTAAACAGCACTGCCTTCTGCCTGACCTGTGTCCAGGCTGGCACCTCCCATTGTGCTAGGCACCGGGGATGATGTCTCTATTTAGACCAGGTGGGCTGGTAAAGGAGTTACATGACAGCGTGTCAGGAAAAGTTCAGTAAGGGGTGAGCTTTAAGATGATCTTTCTGCAAAATGTCCTCCAGGTGACCAAAGAGGTCTCTTGAAGGGGAGAACAAGTGATGGTAAAGGGAGAAGGATCTGGTTGGGGACAGCTTAAACAGCTTTCACCCCCTTTATGACATCTCTGTGACCTCTGGCCTAGGTGAGTTATGCCTGCCCATGGGCACTTGAATGTTAAAGGCGCTTGGAGCAAAGCTGGACAACCATGACATGGCAACAGCCCGCTCAACCATGTCAGAACACTGCTGCCTGGGTGAGCCCACCAGAACCCAACTGGTTACAGCTGTCTCTTAGGCCCCAAAGTTCCTAAAACCAGATTTGATAGTTTGGGTTTTGTTTATTGTTTATTTTTTGAGACAGCGTCTCACTATACAGTTCATCCTAGCCTAGAACTCAGTTTGAAGCCCAGGCTGGGCTCAAACTCATAGTGATCTTCCTGCCTCAGCTTCCCAAGTGCTGAGATTATAGGTATGGGCCACCATGCTCAGCCCAGAATTGATGATCTTAAAGCAGCCCGCTCTCCTGGGGGCATAGTCACCAGCCACTTGGGAGTTGGAAAGGCAGATCCTGGGTCAGGTGCACAGGTGGTTGAGGCCCCTTCCCTGAAGAGCACATCTGCTCAGTGCCTAGCAAAGCTGGGCTCTTGGATGAGATAGTGTCTTCCCTGGGTTCTGCTTGTGGTTACTGCTAGGGTTTCCCTCGAGATGGCTGCTCAGTAGCCCCTTGACCAAGAGGCAACTCATAAGTAATAACGGGACATTATGAATAGCATTTATTTATTTATTTATTTATTTGTTTTGGTTTTTCTCCGGTACCGGGAACCGAACTCACGACCTTGCGCTTGCCAGGCAGGCGCTTTGCCGCTGAGCTAAATCCCCAGCCCCATGAATAGCATTTAAACTGGCCACGGAGTTGCGCCTATAATCTCAGCTACTCGGGAGGCTGAGGCAGGAGTATCAAAAGTTTAAGGCCAATATACCCTGCATAGTTCAAGGTTAGCCTGAGCTGTGTATCAAGACTCTGTTTCAAAACAAAAGTGTTCACGAGTGGTAGGAGTCCAGCTGGGATTCAGTGCTCCTATACTGTGTTTTGAGGCAAATTACTTACCATCTTACAGCCTTTTTTTTAGCTCCCTATAATTTTTGAGGAAAATGTGTTGCCTCTGCTTCCAAACAGGTCCCTTAGTCAGCCGGGGGCTAGAGCATAGCTCCCAGTGTATTGCAGTTCTTGTTTCTCCTGTACTGACTCAGATGACCTCTTCCTGCAGGCCCCTGGGAGAGGGGTGTGCTTTGTACCTAGTGTCAATTCCTGCACGTATAGCCCCAATATTCTTTATCCCAAGACCCTTCCAGCTCCACCTGCGAGGCCTGTAGATCTGATCTGGCCTCACCAGGCTCCCCTACCCACTGCTACCTTTCAGTTCCAGCAGAAAGGCTCTTACCCTCTTCAGAGGTGTGAAATTTTCCCAGCCTGCAGTACTGTTCTTCCCGGCTTCAGACTCCTCCAGTTAACACCTCTCCTTAAATGCCACCTCTTAAGAGAGGACCTCCTGGGGCTGGGGATTTAGCTCAGCGGCAAAGCGCCTGCCTGGCAAGCGCAAGGTCGTGAGTTTGGTTCCCGGTACTGGAGAAAAACCAAAAAAAAAAAAAAAAGAGAGGACCTCCGACTGCCTAGTGTAAGAAATAAATTTGTTTTTCTTTTTTTCTTTTTCTTTTTTTTTTTTTTTGGTCTTTTTGAGACGGTTTCACTATGCAGTTCAGGTTGGCCTTGAACTCACTTTGCAGCCCAGCTGACCTTAAACTTGCAGCAGTCCTCCTGCCTCAGCCTCCCAGAGTGCTGGGGTTACAGGTGTGCACCATCACACCCAGCCAAAAATGAATTTACTTCTCGACCATAAAAGGAAACTGGACTCAGAGGCAGCTAGAGTGAGGCTTTTAATCCACTCTTGCAAGAGTGGTATCTATACAGACAAGCACACTGGGGTCGAGAAGTTGTGCGTGTTTATTCCAAACTCGCAGGAGTCCCTCCCTGCACCTCGCATGGCCTGGGATCCGGGTTCGCAATCTATCCCAAGCCAGTGATCTATTTCACCCCACACCCGTTGTTCCTGCTTTTCCCTTCTTATTCCCTCCACTGTATTTCTCTTTGCGGTTACTTGTAGCTTTTTGGATTCCTAGGACTCAAGGCAAGTTGTTTAGCATCTTATCTCTGCTGTGAGACTGTTCAGCCTGTGTCCGCTAGTGGACCGAACTAAGCCTAAGAAATAAGGGCTTATTAGAGAGGTTAATGACACATGGACCAGTTAAAAATATTTTTACCTCTTACGCTAGCGAGTGTGCACCCTTTCCCGGTTTCACTCATTCATCGTTATGCCGGCAGCTGTTTTTATTTGTTAACTTGCTTCCCCTGAGCTTACACAGGGGCTGTAGGTTCCCTGAGGCCAGGGACTGCCAGCTTCTGGCCCACTCGTCAGCACGGGGTCCTTTAAGCAGAGTGGAGTGAAGAGTCCCAGGGTCGCGGTACACAGCGAGTGCCCGATAAACACCAGGGCGCTCCTGCGAACCAGCTGAGCGGAGCCCTCCCGCCACTGCCCCGGCTGCGGCTCGGAACCCTGGCCTGCGTGGATTGTGCCGGGAATGGTTTCCAGGGCGACAGCAGCACGCAGGGCGGGGTCTGGGACCAGGCCGGCCGAGGCGCCGCGGTCGAGGAGGCGGCTGGGCCGGTGGCGAGGCGCATGCAAGGCCCCGGCGTGGC